CTTACGAGGCTGCTATCACTTGGGTTTTGATATTTCTATTTCTCTCCTCCCTATTCATTTACTTTTCTTTTATTAACACCATCTCAATTCATTTCTGGTGTTATTGCCTTTTCAAATGCATCCATTTTCGTATCTAACCTGTTCCATTGAATGATTTATTTGATCACTTCATTTCCAGTACCTCTTCTGTTAAACTGTGTGTTCCTGGGAAGACATCAAAACTTTCCATTCTTTAAATGAGGGTTTGGAGTTTCGTGTGTCTCAGGGTATATGGGTCCACTTGGAGCTCAGCCAACACTGTTCCCCTTCCCAGTCTATGACTCTTCCATGGAAGCTTCCAGGACCCTTGCCTTAGCCAACCAGCCCAGAGTGGGGAGAAAGGAAGATGTTATTTGATATAATTTGTTATAACTGGGTGGAGGCAGGGGTAGGGAAGGAATGCAGTTTCCAGCCAGCCCAGCTGCACTTTTTCAACCCCACTCTGAGCTTTCAAACCCCACTGGCCTTGATGTGACCAAGGCACCACGGGCTGGTACTGCCAACTGTCTACTCCGTAGTATTTACAGGACAGATGACAAGCTTTCCAGAAAATATGAAAGAGACAAAGATATAATCCGAGAACTCCACCTCAGTGCAACCTCCATCTGTGGTGTCTGACCTTCTCCCACCCTAGAGTAGTCATCTCCCACGGGGGGACCAAACAATCAGGAGTTTAGTTGCTTAGAATTGTTCTGAAATTCAACCACCTGCTAACCTCTTCTGTCCCATCAGTAGAATTGGGTTTGGGGGAGGAAGCCAGCAGCTATTACTGCTTCACCATCTTCATCTAGAACCAGATATGCCTTTTTACATTTTAATCACTATTTCAACTCATGACTAACAACTACAATGATAAAAACGAAACTGTATCTTGCACTTGCCATGTGACAAGTGCTATTCTAAGTGTTTCGCATATATTAACTCCCTTAATCATTATAGCAATCCAATTAACTGATACCATAGTTATCTCCAGTTTACTCTAGGATACAGAAAGTTTATGTGACTTACACATTACCCAGCTTTAAGTTGAGAAGTGACAATTTGACAAGAGTTTCCACTATTATACATTCATTCTGTATTCATCTCTTTTTTAAAAGTTTTATTTATTTGTGCATACAGGAACTGGGGTACAGGCCAGAGGTGTGGGGTGGGGGGTGAGAAGATTCACCAGAGACAGAGTGGAGAGCAGAACAGGTAGATCGTCTGAAATACACTAAATACACTGCTGAGGGGAACACTCAGCAGTGGGCGAGACAAGAGAGGTCTGCTGCTCCCTGGGAATTGAACTCAGTGCTGCAGTGGCTGCAGATAGCTTCTTAATGCTGTTTTAACCCAATGCACCACCAGGCACAATAAACAACACAGAACTTTTCTTTCTTGTGCCTCCCCTCACCTCCCATGTGTACATTAACTGGAATTTCCCTTCAGGATTGTAACTCTTTACATTTCTAATCAAAACTTATTTAGATTTAATAGATTTTATCCCACCCACCCACTGCTTACTGGAACCTTCGTTTTCCTCCTAAATTCATTTTTTTTTTCTATTTGATGGATCATAGACCTTAATTATCCTTTTAGAAAAGGTATGTGTGTGATGAATTTTCTGAAATATTATCTTGGCTGAATATAGAAATTTAGGTTCAAAGATACCAGCCTTTGGAGAACTCTATTATATCCTCTCTTACTCCTCTCTCTCTCTCTGGGATTTTCCAGGATTTTCTCTTTGTCCTTTAGAATTTTATATTTGTCCTAGAAAATTTATTTGTGTGTGTGTGTGTGTGTGCTTATGCATGTGCTAGTCATGCTCAGAATTTAGTGGTTTTAACCAGTTTGAAGATCATGTCTTTCTTCAGAATGTTCTAGAACATTATTTCAATTATTGTCTGTCCACCAATCTTTCCATTTCCCATGTTTGCAACTCCTATCAAATGAATATTGAAACTTCTGAATTCCATCCTTCATTTTTTGTCTTTCATGTTCCCTAGTTCTTAATCCCTTGTGCTATTACCTGAACACATTTTATCATTGGGTTGCTTCAGTTTTGTTTTTTTTTTTGATTTGCAAAAACTTTGTCATATTTTAGGGATAGTTAGTTCTAATCTGTTGCACAGTGTAAGAGACCAGAATATGGCACCCCAAAATATGTCTCTTGGCATAAGGATTATGTTGAGCAGATTATTCTGAGAAACAGCAGACACAAAAGCTCTGAAAACAAAGTAGAAGTTACTCTTTTATAAGGAAAACTCATTTTATAAAGGAAATCTCCATTTTAAGTGTATATCCCTATCAGTACCAGGTAGGGAGATGAAATTACCAAAAAAAAAAAATTCATATCAATGGAGAACCCACTTAAATATGCATAACAAATCTACCCTTGTTTACCACACTTTTCTGGTCACCTCCCATAACTGGCTTCCACCACTCAGAAGCCCCAAACCCCTTTTCCTTTGCTTCACCTCAAGTTGCTATATAAACCCAACTCTCACCATCACTTTGAGTTACCAGTTCTTGAGTGTCTTCCACCTACATATGAAATATGCATGCTAATACATTTCTTTTTTCTTTTATTAATCTGGCCTTCGTTAGAGCACTAGCCAAGAATCTGAACAGCTAAAGACGTTTTCCCCTCCTTTACAATATTTCAACATCTCCCCTCAAATTTACCTTTCAAATGGTTATTTACATTCTTTTGACTTAGATGTACTTTATTTTTTAGTATGTTTGTTTTTACATCATTTTGTGCCTTTTTCCATTTCAGATGCAATCACCCATGTGCCATCACTATTGTCCAGTGAACTTCCCTCCCCCCACAGTTTTTGAGCCCATTCCCCACCCCACCCCCACGAAATGTCTCTGGTATATAGTTGTTCATTATTCTTATTATTTTCTCCCCTGGTCCTTTATACACCTGCTATGAGTGAAACCATCCAGTATTTTTCTTTTCTTTTCTGGCTTATTTCACTAAGCATGATCCCTTCCAGCTCCATCCATGTTGCTGAAAAGGCATGGGGTTATCTTTTTTGATTGCTGAGTAACATTCCATTGTGTATATGTACCGAGGTGTATTTTATTTTTTATGTCTTTAAATGTCAAATTTACTATATATTGACTTGGTATGCCAGGAAATGGTTATGCCAGATTTACTTTATTTTCCTAGATGTTCTTTTAGTTCTTTATGAATTCACATTAAGACCCCTAATTTTTTTCAAATTTATTTCATGTGGTCTTGGGTGAGAATTTAATCTTTATTTTTTCCAAATGGATACACTTGTCAAACCTTGCACATTATGCGATCCATCGCTTGTCCGCTATTTTGAAATGCCTGCTAAGGTTGAATGTATAGGCCATTGTTTCTCAACTGTCTTTTTGTGGCATTTCTTGATAAATCTGAAGACTTGCCTTTTTAAGACCAGGCACTGGAATTTCAAGTTAGCAATACTATCAAAAAGCAAGCTGGGGAGTGGCTCAAGTTAAGGAACACTAAGGAATGAATACGAGTGAATCAAAGAACATAATGTATTTTAATCAGACAACTATCTTATTTCTGAATATGGAGAGAAGAAAGCCTTATTTATGCGTAGTGGTCTGGATATGCAGAAAATGATATGAGAAGATAAGTATCTCAAACATTTGAAAATTTCTTTCAGAAACGTGAATTTTAACAGCAGTACTATTTTCTCCTATGAGTTGAATAAGCCTAAGTTTAGCTGTAAAAATTTATGACTTTCATAACTCAGGCTGTTGGCATGGCTGTGGTAAAATTGACCTCACATATATTGCCAGTGGCAGGGCAAAATAGCCACGCAGACTCCTCCACACCTGCCATGTGTTCCTGCCGCTGGATCTTTGTGCTTGCTGCTGCCGCTGCCTGGAACGTGACTAAATAATCACTTCTAGCCGATGTCGGATCTGGCTCCTTCTCTCCTCCTCAGCGACACCTTCCTGACTGCCAATATTCATTTTCCTCCAAATTAATGGAAGGAGCACTATTAGAACAGGGTGGGGGGCACTCTCGGAGACAGAGGAGTATACTTCCGAAGAGAAATGACTTCTCTTTTTCTCTTTTCTACCAGATCAGGGGTCGGCACATTTTTTTTTTTTCTGGAAAGGGCCAGATAGTGAAGAGCTCAGGCTTCACTGGCCACATGGTCTCTTGCAACACCTCAGTTCTGCTGCTGCAGCACAAAGGAAGCATGAAAGTGAACAAGTGTAACTGTGTTGCTGTAAAATTTCATTTGCAGGCGTTGAAATTTGGATTTCACATTGTTTTTCAAGTGCCACAAATTACTCTTGACTTTCTTCAATCATTTGGAAATGTGCAAACCAATCTTAGCCGGGGGCCATACAAAACGATGGGGGGCTGAATTCAGCCTGTGAGCCACAGTCTGCCCACTCTTGTGGCTGGAACATCCACTGCAGGGATGATCACCTACCTCATTCCCTGCTGTATCTAGACCCTAGAACAGCACCTACCACCCAGCAGGCTCTCTGTAGCTGTTTCTTGGGTGAAGGAGTGAGTAAATGCAATCTGAGTTGAGTACTGAGTTACTGAAGGAGTGAAGTGAGTGCGTATATGACAGCTGGCACGTCCTACTTTCAGTCTCAGTTGACCCCTGTCTCAACGTAGGCAGGTTCCCCAAGTCTTAGGAACAGAACAGAAGGCAGAGGCCAGCATTGCAATCAGTAAGTTTATTCTCCTCTGTAGCTCAAGGGTAATCCTGACAAACAGCTTCAGCCAGGAGGAGACAGAAAGGACAAGACTGGGGAGGGGCTCCCCCAGGACCTGGCATCCACCTCCTCTAACGCTTCCTCCTCCTCCCATGGGGTTGGGGCTGGGGCTAGGGCCGTGATTCAAGCTTGGCATCCCTGGGGAGAAGGGAAGTAGACCACTCCGCAGCCTCTGAAGCCCCTACCTCCGACTGCCATGTTACTGGGCACAGCCACCTCCACACACCAGGCAGGAGAGTGGTCCCATCTTCCTCCACATGCACAGGCACGTGTGCACAGGGGCCTGGGCTGGGCAGGGCGTGGTCAGTGTCCAGACACATGGCTCTGGCCTGTGGCCCAATTGGCAAACATAAAGCCTAGACTGATCGCCATGAAGAGCACCCCCAGGATGCCAAAGCACAAAGCCTGTGGACCAGAGAACAAGAAGACAGAACAGGGTCTGTCCCCGGCCAAGCTTCTCCTGGGAATGTCCTTCAAATCCCCCACCCCCTCCAGAGAGTGTCCCATTCAGCCCCGACCATTCTTTGTGTCCCTCCTTCCTTAAAATCAACCCCCCAACCGCACCCCCATGAGTCCCTCCAACTTCGGAGAACCCTCCAGGGAGTATACTCCTCTGTCCTCCCTGAAAAGTGCCCCCACCCTCTTCTCATAGTGTTCCTTCCATGAGTTTAGAGAATGTTCCTTCTACGCCAGCCCCTTTCTAAGTGCTCCCACGCTCTTCCCCGCTGGTGCTGCCTGCTCAGCCTCTTCCCAAGACAGTCTCCTTAATTATGCGAGACCATCTGCTCCCTATCTCCGAATGTGTCTTATCTCCCGCCATCCTGCAGAACTCCCGCCCTCTTTTCCCACTGGTCCCTGGAATGCGCACCTGGATCTTCCACCAGGAGTAGAGGGGCTCCACCTCAGAGGGTACAATGCGGAGGTAGAAGACACTGGGAAGGATGAAGATGAGGCTGGGAGCTGAGGTGGACCCTGGTGGACAAGCAGCGGGGACAGGAGTCAATGTAAGTTTGGATGCAAGTCTCAAATTAGGCACGATCTGGGGCTGGGCTTGGGAGTACTGACCGATAACCCCAAAGATGTCGCGGATGGACGGCACACAGATGACAAGGACGTTGACCAAGACAAGGATGATCAGAGCTATGGCCACATGACGGGGCCAGCTGAAGGCCTTGCTTGGGAAGAGCAGCTGCTGCAGGGCCCGGCGGATCTGTAGCCAGAGCAGGGTGAGCCATGTGTCAGGGCCTAAGGGTCACCTCCCCAGGCAGCCAACTGCATCTTCAACCCCACCTTCCGAGGAGCTCTACCCTCTAAGATGCCCGATTTACTTTCCATCTGACTATATCTTCAACATATCACCCATCTGCGCCTCCACTTTCTAAGTGAGCACCCGTCTTGCCCTTATTTGACAATCTAGGCCTCTTCCTCCTGTCTGATCACCCACCTAGACCTCCACCCCTGGAGGTCTAGGTGGCTGATCAGACAGTCGGATGGAGGCAGACTGTTACTGCTTCTCCCTCCCATCCTATTGCTCTGTCTGAAGTTGTCGCCTCTGCCTCCATCCGACTGTCCCTGCATCTCCCGCTGCTCAATGCCCACATGTCCTCCCACCTGTCTGAGCCCCTGCCTCTCCCCATCTGAGCGCCCCCTCCTAGCCCCCCTCCTCACATGAGAGCCTCGTCCTCCTGCATCTCACTACTTCTGCTTCCACCTTTTTCAGTCCTTCCATTTCCTCATTCTGAATGTCCGTCTGTCTATGCCTCCACCTTCCCTGAACACTCTTGTTCCATCTCATCTCTGTCCCTCTTCTGTGTGGCCTTCTCAATTTGCCATTTCTGTCTCTGCCATCCTTGTCATCTCCTCCATCCACCCACCTCCCCCTATCTCCACCCTCCACCCATCCATGTCCTCGCCCCCACGCACAGGGAACAGCACCACTGGCACAGTCAGAGTCACCGCCAGCAGCACAGCCAGGCGCACACAGAGGATGAGCAGGTCCTGCTGGTTGTACATGTGCAGCATCTCTGCTTCCACGCTGCCTAGCAAGGGGCACGGAGGGAGGGTGAGGCGGGAGCGCAGCAGCACCACGCCCCAGGACTGCACAGACACACATGGCGATGAGGTCTACACGCGCACTGTACACATTGGAAATGGGTGGGTCCAAGGGCATGGAGGGTAAAGGCTTAGATTCCTGCCCCCACCCTCGGTCTGGTTCCCAGCCCAGCTCCCAGCCAACCCTGGCCCCAGCCCTGCTCACTGTAGAACGTCAGGTATCCAAAGGTCGCTGTGAGCGCATACATGCAGAACATGGCTCCAATGGACACGTTGGCCACGGCCTGCATTCTGCGCTTGGAGGGGCTGTGGTATAGAGGTCACGGCACTGTCATGCCCAGGCCCCTCAAAACCAGCCCCCGTCCTCCAGTGTTCCCTCCCCCCAGGGTTGAGGTATACACTGGGATGCCCATCTCTGCCTCCCCCTCCCCTTCTCCATCCACCCACATGTCACCCCAGATAACTATCCCTGCTTCTCCCCTCCACTTGACTGTTACTGCCTCTCCCTCCCATCCTATTGCTCTCTCTGATCATCCACCCAATCCCCCCAACATATCAGCCCCACCTCCTCTTTTGTCCATTCATAACCTCCATCTCCCCATTCCCACTCATACACACCACCCCCTCCATCCATCCACACTTAGACTGAATGCAAGTAGAATACTCATACCCCAGTCAGCAAACAGTTACTGTCCTGAGTTTCCTAAGACCTGCTGAACCCCTCAAACCTCGCCCTTGGCACAATCTAGGCAAAAGCAAGCTAGGACCCCAGGACTGCTGTGGGGATCCTCATATTCTAACTATCACCCCTATCAGCTGGCCTATCACACCTTCCCACTCACCGGGAGAGCTCCGTGTAAATGGGCAAGACCTCAGGATGGCAGACGAAGGCAAAAGCCATAATGGGCACTGTGTAGAACATCTGGGGGGATGGCCCAAGCACATGAGATTATCCTGCAGGGTTCTATCCCTCCTCCCCCCCCCCCCGAGCCTACTACTGCCCTCCATATCAGTTAGACACGATGCCCAATACCTGGCCCCGCTCTGAGCACTATGCCAGGTCCAGAGACCTGAGTGTAGGGAAGGCCCTGAACACCTGCACACCCACCTGTGAGTCAACCGTGAACATCTGGGCCTCACAGCTTCTGTTGAGACCCTGGATGGGAGGGTCTGAGGGGCTATGATCCTCCACTCTTGTTTCATTGTGGACTATAGGACAACTAAGTTCGAATTTCTTATAGATGACCTGGGAGAGGACAGATGGGGAAGGGAGGTAGCAAGGAAGGCTATACCCCAATGGCCCAACTCTCACCCTACTTTTCCATGCCCTTCTGTCTCACACTCACCGAAATGAGGAAAAACAGCATGCAAGTCAGAGAGAGCCCACTGGTATACCCCAGGTAGCCTGCAGGGGGCAATACACAGAGCCTCAGAAATCAAGGAAACCCCGGCCACAGATATCAAACCCCTAGCCTAACCTTCAAGGCTCCCTCACCCCAATAATGCCACACTTTTGTACAAGCCTTTACTTCCACCTGGACCAGCTTCCCCTCATAGCAAACTCTATCCATCTGCTACAACCCACGTCAAACAAGCCCTTCCCAGGCATTCTATGGCCCATGAAAATGGGGATTCTTTCAATCTGGCTGCCTTTGTCACCCCACTATCTAATGATGGGTGCAGAAGCCTCTTACCCAAATGTCTCATGAGGGCTAGGGGCAGGATGATGAACACACTGACAATGATGATGAGGAAATTGCCCTTCAGGAACCAGACCCTAGGGAGACAGACAGACACAGTGACTGGCTATCAGCCAAAGAAAACTCAGGCACATGGACAGACAGATTTCTGCTTGAAGTCACCAGACACGAGTAGCCTCAGTCATGAGAGATTATTCAGATGGTCACAGCAATGAATGGCACAACAGGATTGACAGAAAAAGCCAGACTGTCAGACTCGGCCAGACAGAGCTGAAAACACTTGCACCATCAGACAAAACCGAGCCATCAGACTCCCAAGTGAACACACAAGCAAGCAGGCAAATACCCCAAATCGGTCAGGCTCAGCCAGTCCAACAAGAGGGGCCAGACTCGACAAAGACCAAGCCAAGGCCCTGGCATATAGAGGTAGAAAAGTCCAGTAATCTAGTACAGGCAATGATACAGGCCCAGACAAAAAGTCCACCACACACCTGTCAGGCTGAACAACTTAGGGTTTATTAAACCTTAAGGTCACAAGCCACAAAGCCAAAGACTGAAACAGACACAGAATGAGTCTGCTGGTCACACCATGGGAACAAAGCTCAGAGCAAGAGTGGGATATGTCCTGCCAATAGATACAGGGGCTCAGGTAACACACTCAGTTAATACAGAATCAGCTAAACAACTGACTGCTCATTCCTTCAAAAGAATTTTTTTCCTTTTTATTTTTTTTTTATACAGAACTGGGGTACAGACCAGAGATGCGGAGAGTGAGAGGATTCACCAGGGACAGAGTGGGAAGCAGAACAGGCAGATCGACGAAGTACACTGCTGAGGGGAGCAGCGGGCGGGTCAGGAGAGGTCTGCCGCGCCATGTGGTCACCTCCGGGGCAGGCAGGGATCGAACTCATGCGGAAGTGGCTTAAGCTTCTTAGTGCAGTGCTTTAACCCGCTGTGCCACCAGGGAGGGCCCCCTTCAAAAGAATTTTATTGAGTGCCTACTACACACACTCACAGGCCTTCACACTTTCTGTCTCATGCACAGTTACACAGAAATAAACAACAGCACACCAACTGGTTGTATCTACAGTGGGAGCTAATCAGAACTATTAGACACACCTAGCCACACGTCTGTGCGCTACCTAGATGGTGTGAGAATCAATCCAAATGGGAGACACAATCAGTGGTCACATACCACCAAACAGATTCAGCCAGCAGGTGGATCAAGAATCAGACAGTCCCCCAAATGCATACTCAGAAGAACAGTAAAACATAAATGGCCGGAACCACCATACAGAGATCACATACAGTCAGAGTCAAGGATCACATCCACACAGCCAGAGAATTTGCCAGAGCAATAGTCACCAAAGCATCCATGCATTTACAATCAGACAGATTCAGTCAGCCCGATGGACCGAGAATCAAACAGAATCAGTTGGACAGGGGAAGTCAGCGTAAGCAAATGTCAAACACACATACCCGGAGTTGCACTATACCGGACACAACTGGAGTCAATTACCATCTAGCCAGACAAAGAACCTGTCAGTGCAGCAGTCACAGATTCAAACCCACAGAATTTAAAGTCTACTGGACAGGGATGGTCACGGTCAGCAGCGGTGATCATGGAGCCACGAGACAGAATCAGCCAGAATGACAGTCACAAAAATCAACCTGTGGCCTACTGGACTCCCATAGTCAGGGCAAGAGCCACACACACTGATGGCATCACGACACGAGGAACCGACAGTTTGACTGAACTGCTGTGCACAGACTTGAACGCAGCAGCTGGACCTCAGGCAGAGGCTGTGGTCTTCTGACCTGCCAAGGGGTGCTGCTCACTCACCCCTCAGAATTCATGTGCAGGAAGGTGCCAATAACCAGGGGGAGTTCGGACTTGATGATGAACAGGTAACTGGACATGGCTGGTGTGGGGGCGGGGAGGCATAAGCAGAAGGAGTCACCTGATCCCCCCACCCTACCTTCCTCAGCCCAGCCTGGGGAAGCCCACCTCAAGCCACCCTCTTCCCCAAGGATGACCATCCACCTTTCAGAATGCTCACCCCCAACATTGTGCAGACAAATGACCATGGCCACCACGACCTTCCCCGCAGGCCCCAATGCCCTCTGTCCCAGCTGTTCATAGGCTCGGATACCTAGGGAGGGGTGGCGAAGGGGGAAGAACAAGTTGTAAATCCAGGAGGCCAGGCCTGAGGACCAGAGGTGAGGAGCTAGGCCTAGGAGCTGGGGAGTTGAGGCCTGGGGGTCTGATTGACAGGGAATAGAGGCGGTTAGGATTGGGCTTAGGGGTGGATGTGTGGCCAGAGAGAAGTTTGGGGACTGGAAGGACATTAGCAGGAAACAGGGGAGCAATGACATTGGAGCACTAGGGCAGTGTGAGTTTGGGAGTTGGGGGTTTAGGAACAGGGGTTTCAGTGCATGGGGCCAGGCTAGAGGGGACAAGAGACTGAGGGGTGGGGGTAACAGGTGGAGTGCAGTGGTCTGGAGTGGGAAGGTCTGAGTAATGGGGTATGATAGCTAAACAGAGGGATGAGGTTGAAGATTAGGAGTTGGGGATTTGGGAGCCTAGATGAGGTCTGAATGTCGGGTGTAGCCTGGGGCCTGGAATCCAGGGAGTTGGATGGGGCCTGAGGTCCTAAGTTTGGGATTTGGGTTCAGGATGGTTCCAGAATCTGGGGTTTGGGTTGAGATCTGGGTTTGAGGTCTAGGGGGTGGTCGAGAGCCTGGGGAACCAGGTCTGAGCTGAATTCTGGATGGGAATCCAGTCTGTGGGCCAAAGGGGTAGGGTGAGGCCCAGGGTCCAGGCTGTGGGTCTCACCAACAACACCAGCACAGGTCAGCAGGAGATGGATGGAATAGGAAGACAGAAGTGCAATGCACAGCAGCAGGACCCTGTGGTAGATGGCACGACTCAGAATTGGCCCTCAGCCCTCCCACCTGCCCCGCAACCCTCCTGCCCTCTCCCCAGATGCTATGAACTCACAAGAAGAAGAGGACCCCTGTGTGGGCCATGGCATAGGCCAGCCCCAGGATGCCGCTGCCCATGATGGCATTGCTGAGGTTGAACACCGACATTCCAAACGATGTCTTCCCCTCGAACTGCAGGTAAATGGCAGGACCCAGGCACACATAGGGAGGGGGACCAGGTAAGGAGACCAGTGCTGGGGCCCAGGAAAGACTAAGGAGGAGGTAACTGGGGCAGGGGAAAGCCCAGGAAGGATGACCGGAGGAGGGAAGAAACTAGGAAGGAAGAGGAGTTGAAGACCAGGAGAAGCCAGGGAGAGAGAGAGCTGGGAAGGAAAAAACAAAGAGAAGCTTTGGAGAGGAGCAGCTAGAAATGGACAGAAACGGGCAGGTTGAGTGGCTATTGAAGGCAAAACAGTTGCAAAGCAGAGTTTCTGAGGATGGGGAGTAGCTAGGGCGGAAAGCAGCCAAGGAGCACAGGAGCTGGGAAGAGGGGCCAGTGGGGGGATGGGCTGGGCCAGGTGCAGCCAGGGCAGACCCTGAGGGTCACACTCACATCCATGAACTGGGTCGGCTTCCTCACAGGAGCAGGGTCGTGGCTGGCCAGGAAGCCCTCACGTTCCTGCCTATAGCTGCATAGGGCAGGAAGACGGGCTGGTGAAAGGGTGTTCCAGACCCCTGCCCTCATCCCCTCAGGTCCCTGACTCACCCTGCAGCACCCACAGGGAGGGCTCCATTCATCTTTGGATCTTGTAGTTCCATCCTATAGGCAGAAAAATGGGGGGGAGTGAGTAAGAGATGGAACAGGGGGGCCACAAAGTGAAACGAGCCAGATGAAGGGAGGCAAAGGGTCAGATAGAGATGGACAGATACAGAGATGAGCCGAGGGAACAGGAACAGAGGGATGAAAGGGTCAGGGAGATAAATGCAGAGAACGGGAGTCAAGAATAAGAGAGAGAGAGAGAGAGAGAGAGAGAGAGAGAGAGAGAGAGAGAGAGAGAGAGAGAGAAGGGAATGGGGGAGAGACACTAATCCTTACTCTGGGACACAGAAAAAGAGGTCAGAGAAATAGAGACAGATGCATGCACACACGTGCAGGCGCACACACACACAGCAGATGAGACAGCATTTGGAAGCCGGACAGGCTCTCTCAGACCCTAGACTCACTCTGTCTCTCTCAATCTGTCTCTCGACCGGTCTTTTTCCTACCAGTCCCCCGCACACCCCCTCTTCCCTCCACCCTCAATGCGTGGCCACTCACGGCCTCACAGGGCCACGTGTCGCCGGCTGCCCCACCCCTCCTCCCTGCCGGAGCCCAGAGCCAGAGCTGGGAGCTGATGCAACCTGTTGAAGGTGCTGGAGGGGGGCTGGAGAGCAGGCTTGGAGACCCCAGCCCCTAACACTGCAAACTGCTCTCTGCCACAACTCTGAATATCCTACTAGGAAAAGACAATTCCTCCAACTGAGTCCCCTTCCAGGGACAGAAGTGACCCAGAGGCCCCCATTTAACCCCCCTTCTAGCAACTAGATGTATTTCCTAAGGACCCCTGTCAAGTCTTAAGCTGCTCTTGTGGGAGAGGTAATCTTGGAGACATTTCCAAACTTGATATCCTTCCTGGACTTGAGATCTCAGGAACTTGGCCAGCCCTAAATTCCCCTCGCCGTCCCTGAGGATGAACCTTCCCTGAGACCTTCATCAAAGCCCCCTCACAGGGCCTAACGTGTTTCCTGGGTTCGGGATGTCTCTGCGATCCCCGCGCAAGCCTGGAGCCCCTGTTTTCTGCATGGAGCGTCTCAGAAGAAATCCCCAGTCTGAGCCCACTTTCCAGCAAAGAGTTATGTCAGAAATCCCCATCAAAGCTCCCACCATTGCTAAAATTGCCTCCAGGAAACCCACTGGCCAAGCCCTGAATCCCTTCGCCAGGTCAGAGTAAGCTCTCAAGGAGCCCCATCCTCAACCAAGAACACTCTCTAGAGACTCCGTCCTACTCCTGAGTTCAGTTCCTGGGAGCAAGGTACCCAAAGAACTCCCCCTCCCATTCAATTCCCGCTAGTGCTAAAAATGTCTCCAGGGACTCTCCCAGCCCTCTCCCGGGAACCGCCTCGTGCCTCGGGGTCTCCGGAGCGCCCCCTCCCCGGCGCCCGCCTTACGTCCCCGATCCTCTCCGCTCCAGAAGCCTGCAACTAAGACTAGAGCTCCTTCACCCCAAGCCGGCAGCTCCCGCGCAGCGGACCCTGCCCCCGCCCAGCGCCGGAGCCAATCAGCGCGGCACCGACTCTAGAGCTAATCAGCAAGGGCCCCGCGCACTAGCCCATCTGGCCCGCGTTTTTTTTTTTTTCTAGGAAGAAGTCTTAATTTTAATTCTTCAGACTTTAGGAGGACGTGGGGGGAGGGGACGGGCGCCCTGCCTCATCTGGGCCCACGTAGAAGGCGACAGAGGTTGGTGCGGGGTTTTGGTGGGGGTGGAGCGGGAAATGGTTGGAAAAAAGATGAAGAGTGTGATCCACACCCAGAGAGAGGGACAGGCGACAAAAGGAACTGACTGGCTAGACGCAAGGCGGGACTGGAGGGATGGCGGGAAGAGGTGCAGAGGAGAAACCGTCGCAGACACATGCTCGCAGGCAGGCAGGAGGAAGAAAAAAAGGAACAAACAGGGAACAGAAACACAGACAGGTTGTGGGGGTGGTAGACAGACAAAAGGGGCAGTTATGGGACGGAGCAAACCCAGATACAGACAGGTGGGCAGGGATAGTCTGAAGCAAGTACCTGGAGGAAGGTAACAGGCAGGCCTAGCAATACACAGGAGACACCGCTGGCTGGCAGACAGCGCCACACACTTCCTCCAAATGAGGTCGGGGCACACTACTACAGGCAAGGGGGCAAAGGTGCTGGTTGAAGCAGAGAGGCACTGGGCAGGGCAGGTGAGCACAGGCCCAGACAGTCAGATTCCGGCAGAAAGTAAGAGAGAGTGAATGGACAGACCTGGGAACAGAAACGGGGCACGTCCCTAAGTCAACCCAGCCAGGCCACTATGGCTGACTTCAGATAGAGCTAAGGGAGGGGGCCTTCCCTGGTGGCACAACATGTTAAAAAAAAAAAAAAACAGCACTAAGAAGCTAGCTGCAGCCACTTCAGCATGAGTGAGAGCGATACCCCGCCGGCCAAGGGGGTGATCCACATGGCGCAGTGGACCTTTCCTGACCCGCCCGCTGCTCCCCTCAGCAGTGTGCTTCATCACTCCACCTGTTCTGCTCCCCACTCTGTCTCTGGTGAATCTTCTTACCCCACTGCACGTCTGACCTGTACTCAGTTCTGTATCCATAAATAAATCTTTTTTTAAAAAGCACTGAGAGGACTCTATATCTTAGTGATCCCCCAAGGGAGGCAGGGAGGAGGACACTGGTGGTTGGGTGGGGGTTGTGGACACACACCATCTGCCAGTGGGCACACCCTGGAGTCCTGGACCCCAGCCCAGGCCTTGGGTAGGGCTTGTCCACACCCCAATTGAGGAACCCCACTATCTGTCTGTCTTTTATGGGGGTCGGGACATTCCTATGTAGATGTGTGACAGGTATGTCTACCCCAGGGAAGGCATGCATCTCCTGCAGGGAATCAGGCAGGGCAAACTTGGAGACTGGACTGCTGGAGGTCGAAGTGGATGAGAAGCCTCTGTCTGGGCCCCTCCGCCGCCTGCCCACCCCCCACAGGGAGCACAGAATTCCCGGAAAGGCCAGGGGCTGGCTGGGCCTTCAAAGCTAGCCTAGGTGCCCCCACGCCCACCCCACCCACAGTTGGTGGAGGGCGGGGGATGAGGTGTTTACTTCCCCACAGCATGAGAGAAACTCCTGCACACTCAGGATCACAGCCCCATCCAGGGACTCAGAGATGAGGGCTGACCCACCTGTCACCCACAGAAGTATAAAGACATGTGCATGCAGACATACAGCTACACGCAGAGAAAACAGGCTGACAGATAGGAACACAGAGACTGAAGAGGCAGCCCAGGCCACAGTACAGTCACACGCTCATCAGCACAGAGTGACGACACACTATAGACTCACGGACATCACCACTCACAGGTTCACGGCTGGACACAACACACACACACAAATAAAATTTCACACCGCTAACATCCCACACGGACCCAGTGTCTCCCACACATGATTCCAACTTCAGACAGCCTTGAAGGCCACGATTCAGGCTCAGTGAAGATACCTCTATGCATGTGAACTCACATGTGAACTTGTGACCACATACAGCTCTGGCCAAAAGAAGAGGAAAACACGTATGCACAGAGAAGCTGCAGTCACAGCACACACACAATTCATTCAAACAAGTAGCTGCACATACAAGTAGCTGCACATGGCTGTGTGTACACAGCAATTCATACATTCAATTTGAGAAGAAATGTGCAGGGAACAGATATACAGGAGTTGCAGAAAGCAGGGAGTATGCTTACTAGGTAGAAGGAAGGAATCCAGAAAACTCCCCTAAAGCAACATAAAGAGGACGTAGAGAGGAAGCAGGTGACATATACGGTGACACCAAAAGAAAGACACAGACCTACAGCCACTCATCAAGAACACAGTGGCAGAGAAGACACACATACATAAGAAACACACAAACACAAGGGAAATAAACACACTCATCACCACAAGCACTGCAAAGGAAACACACACGCCCAAGGAACACACACACAGTCAGCCCCTAGGCATGAATACACAAGCTCACAGTAGCAACACATACACTTGCCAAAAAGGAAACACATGAATTGAACAGACTCCAAGCTGTAAGGTGAGTTACTCAGGAAGACACATGTGGCGTTCACATATATGTTTGTGACTAAGAACATGTACAAGCAGATGAGTTACACTTGGGGTCTTCACTCACATATTCACACACACATTCCCGACTTTTCTCCCTTCTTCACCTCCTCTCCCAGAGCCATTACACATCTGTGCCACAGGCTGGCCAGGGAAAGAGACACCTGTTGGCAGAGGCCTTGGCACATGCTGAAAAGGGGTGGTTCTAGGCAGGTGTGTAGATTTCAAGAAAAGTCTGAAGTGTTCTGTCCAAAGAACTAGTGTTGCCCGGGCAGTAAATAGATGCCGCCCACCTCCCCGCAGCAGCTTCCCCCTGTGATCATTCTGCTCCCCTTCGACACTGTCCAGCACAGGCACACACGGCCACTAGGCACACCACAGGTGCTCAATAAGTGTCACTTATCAAGTGTCATATTCTCATCATTGCTATATTTATTTCTGCAGAGAGGATTTGAAGGGAGGGCGGAACTTCATTGAGCTCTGCAGCCCATACATAGCTCAGCTACATTTCAAGGCACAGCAAACAGCAGGTGCTCAACACATGCTGGCAGGAGTGAAAACAGAGAAAGGGAGAGCTGGCTGTGTAGACTGCAGGGCAGCCTGCTTTAGAAGGAACAGATGTCCTTATGCGTGACCAAGGCCTTGAGGCTGTGCCAGGGATAAGAACGCCTTGTTAGTTCATCAAAGTAGAGCCCTTTCTCAGGGTCACTTAAGACTTTTGTTGGCTTAGTAAAGCAGACCCTTGTGTGACATTTGGGATTCCTACCGTCTATTAAAAGTCAGTTTGGACTTCCGGGAAGATGGC